GACGAGTGCTTGCGGTGTTCGGCCAATCACAATGCACTGGGTCAGCTGGCCAATCAGAGCAGACTGCGCTTGTCAAAGGAGGGGGCTTTGTTGAAAACGACGTGTTTGAGAGAGGCGGGGCATAGAGGACCTACAATAATGTACAGTATTTGAAAAATAATGTGTTTTTTCAACATTAAAGCATGTCAACATATTCTGTTACACCAAATACACAAAATAATGATCTTTAAAATAGCATCATATGACCCCTTTAATGAACTGAATACTTTCATTCAGCAAGGATGCATTAAATTGATTAAAAAAATTACAGTAAAGACATTTATAATGTTACAAAAGATTTATATTTAAAATAATTACTGTTATTTTAAAGTTTCCATCCATTAAACATTCTCAAAAAAAAAAACTGTTTCCACAAAAATATTAAGCAGCACAACTGATTTCAACATTGAAAACAGTAAAATAAATAAATAAATTAAAACAAATTAGCTAATAGCAAATCAGCATATTGCAATGATTTCTGAAGGATCGTGACACTGATGACTGGAGTAATGATGCTGAAAATTCAGCTGTCATCACAGAAATAAATTACATTTTAAAATATATTACAATAGAAAACAGTTATTTTAAATGGTAATACTTTTTCACAATATTAGTGTTTTTACTGTATTTTCAATCAAATAAATGCAGCCTTGGTGAGCAGAAGAGACTTCATTTAAAAACATTTAAAAAAATCTTCAGACCCCAACCTTTGAACATTAGTCAAAGGTACTATATAATTTCTATATAATATATTTCTCTGTGTAAAAATGAATGTCTAAAACTGACTTTATAAAGTTAATGTAGTACCATCTGCATGAAAGCAGCATTCATATAGCACATCCTCCACTGGGACATTTTGCTTTATAGCAAAAAAACACTTGATTACTCACAAACATCCACATACATGCCATCTGAATCAGCACTTACGATGACAGTTATGCTGTGAAATACACTGACCTTTATATTCTGAGTCACTGAGGCATGATGCTTCAGTCCCACTGCTGTAAGAATACTGTGACAACCCCTCATCTCACACAAAAGCAGCACTTAGAAATTCGCCCCCATACAAATCCTGCTTTGTTGTGTGGTCGTCAAACTAGCATCTATTTCTGCACTCTTTTGAGCTCGTGGTTTTGTACAGTCCACTCTTGACCCGAGCGTGAGCTGTTCTCTCTGAGTTCAGACATGTCTTTAGGGCTGATTTGTCACTGAACAACTCTAGAGAACTGAGCAGGTGGCTCTTGCATGCATTTGCTGATGAGTGTGTTTAACTACCTGTGTGAGTACGACGGGAAATATCAAACAGGATTTCCTGAGTGTGGTGCGTTTCAATAATTTACCAACAGCTGTCACTTGGACTCATCTTTAAGCTCAAAGCGGGGAAGTACAACACTGTTCAACTACAAAGGCTCTCATGTCAAACACTAATAACAGGGCCGTTCGTGTTAGTCACAGACACAGAATTGTTCCCACAGGCACGACAGGCAGAAGCTACAGAACTTCTTTAGGTTCACGAGAGGCTTTTAAATAATATGGTACTTTAAGGCAATTACAAAAGATCATTTAACTGAGGTGAATGTTAGGTCAGATAACCGCCCTGCTAACAGCTTATAGACAAGCATGCATTTCCATGCTGATCCAGGATGGTTTGCTATAAATTTAACTTGTGGACTAACATGCACCACCATAAATATATTTTTTTACCACCCAAAAATGAAAAATATTTATTTATAATTTTTTTTTCCCTGTGACTTTTCATTTTTAGGTGAACTATATCCCTTTAAATTGATCAGTGTTTTCATGTTTTCAGCTGTTGTCAACAATGACAATAATTAGAAATGTTTCTTGAGCACCAAATCAGCATCACAGGATTAAATTAAAATGTAAAATATCTTCACATTTTTCACAATATTACTACATTTACTGTATTCAATCAAATAAATACAGCCTTAACACTGGCATTCATGTTCTCAAAATATTGTAGGAACAGCAACTGAAAAACAATGAATAAGTAAATAAATAAGAATTATGAATAATGCCTTCAAGAGACACAAATAGTCAATGTCTCTCTCTGTAGAAAGTAAACATGCACTTGATTTCTACCTGATCTGACCCCTAAGCGTTCCTTTCATGTAAAATCCAATGTATTCTTGTTGATTCAATCATATTGCAGTTTAACTTGAGGATTTACTTGAAGGTTTTAAAGACGATCATTTGTTTCACTTTGGAATAACATTCATCTGTGAGACCAGAAATATAAGAAGTAAAGAAGTAGAAATATGCAAATATTATGCCACTGAAATGATACAGAACATTACTGAAATATGACCAGTCTTAAATAAGTGAATAAACTTTTGCCATTTGTTGCTTTTTACATGTAGCTGACCTGCGTGAAGGTGCAATCTCTATAGTCCTAAACATAAAGCCAATCTAAACCTCAATCAACACACAAACATCTCAAAAGAGCTTCAGCTCAGCTTGCGGTAAATAGCGCAGTAAGTCTGGACCATATCTATACCTGCTGCATGAGTCTAAATATACCCTCCCGCTGCTCGCCTACAGATATTAGCAGGAATAGCCTTCTCTCCACAGCAGAGAGGTCTTACCGATTTGTAGTGATCGCAGGACGACCTGCTGCGGCGTCTCTCTGGGATGTACATCCTCACGTTCAGAGCCATACTGCTTTTGCAGGTGAACAGAGCTCATAAACACTGAAGCCCTGAGGACGGCCTGCCACATTCACGCCTG